GTAGCTTTACAAAAATTCTCATTATAGTTCTCCATCACTGGGTTTGAAAAGTGCCCTTTAGGAGCCAAACTAGGCCAGGGCATGGTGACATATACCTATAGTTCCAGCATTTGGGAGGCAGAGGCAGGCAGATCTCTGTGAGTTCGAGGGCAGCGTGATCTACATAGTGAGTTCCAAGACAACAAGGGCTATGCAGATGTTGAAGAACACTTTTAAATAGTCACAGTGAAGTTTTGCCACAGTTAAAAACAATAGAGTAGGCTTGAGAGGAGACTCAGTCAGTAAAGTGCTTGCCCTGGAAGGATGAGGACATGAGGAGATTAGAGCCCCAGCACTCATGTAGCAAAGGTTAGCTACAGTACTGGGGAGGCAGAGACAGGGCTGCTGAATTAGTAAATCCAGATTTGGTAACGCTTTCTCAAAAAGTAAGGTGGAAATCAGTTACCCCAAGGTGGCCTTCAACTCACTATCTAGTTGAGGATGACTTTGAACTTATTCCTCCTGCATCTACACGCTGGGCGCTTGGGACTAGTGTTGGTTACCACAGCATGTTTATGTGGTGCTAGGAACCAAATCAGGGTGTTCTATGCTAGGCGAGATCTTTACCGACTCAGCCACACCCCCATCCTGCTCTATTGGTTTGACTGTGGTAAAATTCACTATATCCATTCAAAAGTAACCTTCAGTGTTTATACTCGAAAGACTGCGAATATTGCCAGTATTCTCAGAACATTTTCATCCCTCAGACCTTCAATTTTATTCAGGTAGTAGTGCTGAAGCTTTCATTTTTCAACTTCCCTTGCAGCTAAAGGAAGCTTTGCAAATTAGTGAGTAACGGTGAGCACAAACATAAGGGACTCTCTGGAAATGCCTTAGAGGGAAACAGGCAGCCCTTTGTCCTTTACTGCTATTTTGCTGGCTTCAATCAGAGGTGATGGTGGGGCTCTGACAACCACTATGGACTAGGCAGCACATTTGGTGAGGCTGAGGGTAGCGGTGCAGCCAGATGAGAATTTAGACCCCGAGTAACAGATGAAGTCATCTCTATGCTGCTTCTGAAAAAGAAATCACCTGTTCAAGCCATTCATACTGGGGTTGGGGGATGAGTTGTATACAGTGGGACCCCAACCCAACTTCATCAGGAAGGTTGTCTACTTTTAAAAGCAGTTCCTGCCTGGCATTGATGGTGCACGCCTTTAATCCCAGCACTTGGGAGGCAGAGACTGGTGGATCTCTGTGAGTTCGAGGCCAGCCTGGTCTACAGATCGAGTTCTAGGGCAACCTCCGAGGCAATACAGAGAAACCCTGTCTTGAAAAACAAAAAACAAAAAACAAAAAACAAAAAAAAAGCAGTTTCTTCAGAATCCTCCTAAGTATCTGCTTCAATGATCATGTGGGGTTTCCCATGGTCTGAATGTCTCTCCAAAATTCAAGCACTGAAAACTTAATCAGCAATGTCACATGGTGGAAAAGAAGGGTCTTTGGAAGGGTTGGGCACTAGGTGGAGCCCTCATGAATGAAGTAATGCCATCAAGGGACTTGGGATAGCTTGGTCCCTTTTCTCTTTGGCCTCCCACAGCTCAACGATAAGGACCTCACTATGTCACAGGAGCTGCCACCTCGGCAAGGACTTGTAGCCACCCAGACTATACTGGTTTTCTCTGGGAGAAACGGGGTGGGGGGAGAGGCAGAGACACAGAGAGACATTGCAGCTTTTCAAAGTAAATCAGAGTCTCGTTTCTATTACACAGAGAAAAGATGGCTGCCACGCTAGTTGTTGTTTTCCATTCCAGCAATGGTGCAAAGACCATGGCAGGGCTAGGAGACAGGAAGAGTTTCTCTGTTATTTCTGCAACACGCTGAAGAGACAGCACAGGTAGACAGTGGAAGGAAAGCAGCCCCAGACAAATAGAAATATGTTAGATGTCCATAAAATTATCAAAATGACTCCTGGTCCAGACACAAAGTAACTCATGCAGTTATGGAACAGAAGCTGATACATAGGTATGGTTTTAAGTGACAAGGACAAATACTTAATAACAAACATTTCTGATAATTCTGAGTTCAATATATATGAGAAAATAATGAACAATACTCACACACTTCTAACAAGTAGAGAGCTGAGCTGAGTGAAACTTTACATAGAGGATCCACACTCCATGGGAGTTCTCACCATACCGACTTTCCCAACAGAATTCAGTGTATTCCCCACTACAGATAGAAGACAGCTCTGACAGGCATGTTCTGAAGGCTACACCAGCACAGACTTAAGTCTAGGATTACATTTAGTGCCGAATGCGAGGAGGAACCCCTCAGATGTCATTGCAGACACCATGCCATTCCCTTCATCTGTGCTCTCAGCATGAGCAGAGTCATGCCCTACCCAGCCCTGAAGATACACCGTCTATCCAGCAGTGGTTGAGAGGCCACGAGACTTGTCATACTCCACACCACTTAATCTGAATCTTAAACAAAACCTACACTCTGTGCCATAACTAGGACCATCCGCTTCCACACCCCCATCGTCTCTTTGTGAAACAGGGAAGGATCAGATTACATCACTGCGACTTTGATGTGCCTTTACTCAAGCTGTTAGCCCTGAAAGTCATCTATGAAGACAGACACCCACTGTGCTCTTCTATGCTCTGCATCTGATGCTTTATCTGGTCTCAACAATCTTTTGTGGCTAACATCTTAGCAATGTTCTACAGGTGACAAACTTGGGGCGCAGTTTATTTAAAGTTGTCCGAGGTTGGATGGCTAACCAGTGGTAAAAGAACCCAGCATTTGGTGGTTCACTTACAGACTCACCACTCCATGGATCACCCAGGGTGGTGTCTACAAGAGGTTCAGCAGTGCCTGGCAGAGTGAGCACTCAGCAATCTCCAAAAGTATACATATCTGAAATAATGTAGCTCTACAGCTACACCCGGCGATAAAACATACATATACACGTGAAAACATAAACACATTTTAAATAACAATGTAACTTTTTGTCATCAGACTTTTATTATAAAAAAAAACTGAGGTTCAAGTTTTCCTTTTGTGCTAAGCTATGGAGCACCAGTGGACCAAGTGACACCTTCAGAATTCATGAGGAAATGCAGTAATCAAGTACTTCTTGATCGCGTTCGAACTTCACCATTTGACCACTTCAGAAAACATTGTGCCAGTAGCATTCCCGCTATATTTTACATATGAAGGTTTATGAAATTGTAGAATGTATCTTTGTTATTTATTTATTCACACATAAAACATTGGCCTGCTTTGTCATCAAAAGGCATGTACTAAGTGTCTGATCTGATGTCAGATTTCTAGTTGAAGCAGCTCTTTCCCCAGAGCTTCCCTACTTGGGGAACAATCAATTGTAGTTAAATTACATACATAATCCATACATGTTATAGAAGATACATTATATGACAGGTAGATTTCTGGCCTCTTAGAAAACTCCCTGTATGACTCCCCATTTACCAAAAGCAACAGATCTACCTCAGCATACACAAACTAAAAACTGTATCAAATGAAATCTTTAAAATAATTTTTATAACTTATTTTTCATGTGTGCTTGTGTTTTGCCTGCATGTGTGTCTGTGTGAGGATGTCAGATCCCCTGAAACTGGAGTACAGACAGTAACTTCAGTTACTGCCATTTGGGTGCTGGGACCTTGAGCCCCTCTCCAGCATTTAATAAAAATGCTGCAACTAAATTCAAAGTGATTCCCTATGTAACTTCTTTTGTCTATGTGGACAAGCTGAAGAGGATCTCAGTATAGTCCAGGCTAGTCTGGAGCTTGCAGCTAGTCTGGATTTTCTGAGTATTCTGATCGCAGCCATGTGCCACAACACCCAGATTTTATCCATGACATCCGGATGAAACATTTTCATTTCAATCACACAAATACTTTACTTATATATCAAATTATCTGATACACCAAATGTTACTTTCATCAAAGTACTGATTTTCACACTAACGCTTGAATGTTATGTATTCTACCTACAATGCAAATTAGTGAAACGTAATTTTTTTAAGCCAGCCAATCTTTAGTCTAAAAGAAAAAAGTAGAAGCTAGCCTGACTATAGATTTGCTACCATTCCACAAATCACTGCTGGAGCACCTACCAGGAAACCTTATACCTAGTCTTCAATCTCAGCACTTCAAAAACAATTTGAAAGGTTAAAACTCATTTTAGGTATTTTACACTAGACCTTACTATCTTGTGAGACATTTCTGTCCTTACAAATGTGGATACTGGTACACAATTAGGAGTCAGCTAAATTTAGTTAGGCCTGCATGTTGGCAGATTTTAATTTCTACTTTTTTTCTTAATAGCTAACCTAGTTAGGTCATTTGGTTGATAAAGCATGCAATATTATAAAGGAAAAAACAATGTATATATAAAGAAAAACTGATACCTAAGTGAAATTGAAAATCACATAGAAATGAAATATGGAAGAAGCCATAGTGTCTAAGAATTGGTCAGGTTTTATTTACAGTCTTGTTGAGTGACACCTGACATGCTCCCTGGGGGGTCACCTGCTGACCACTGAACCGTCAACCATGAACACAGGGCACACATTATCTAATGTAGGAAAATTAGCTTATACAGCCCAACTATCATATTGCTTCACAATCTGGGTATTTCAATGTATTTTTTTAAAACGTTGCCCAATAATTTAAAAATATCCTGACTTTAAAGTCAGAATGCAGGCTAATCTAATTACTAAACCTTCTCCATGCTAAAAACAGGTGGACACCTGAGTCGTGGAATGTTAGACAGCACAGACATGAGAAGAGTGAGAAATTTTATTTGTTTTCTTACTCCATCCAAATACCCTTTCTGAGAAACAGAAGCATGCACACTCATGGCAATCCTATAAAGGAAAGCTACTGTAGCCCCTAAACTGCAATTCAACAGTAATATAAATAAAATCTTAAATTATGTGACAGGATTCACAGGTAGGCTGTTAGTTTCCAGAAAATAATTATGCCAAATCAAAATTAACATGTTTAAGAGACGGTTTTAATTTTTCAAACATTTTGATACAATTTATTTCCAATTACCACATTTTATGGGCTGCTCTCAAGAATAAGTCAGTGCTAATATTCAAAAGATCATGTGCAGATCACTTGCCCTGTTTAAAAGGAATCAATTATATCCATGTGATTCTAATGGTACTCTCTTTTAAAAAACAAATGCACAGCACACACTTATTTAAACATTTGTTTTAATTTGTTTGTGTAAGCATATGCATGTGGCTGCTCATGGAAGCCAAAGAATGTGTCCAATTCCAATTGGGCTGGATAATAGGCCTTTGTGAGCCTCTATGCAGGTGCTGGGCACCGAACCCTCTGCAAGTGCGCTCTTTACTACTGAGCTGTCTGTCTCTCCAGCCCCCAGTCATGTTTGAAGTCTCATAACTTGTACTTATTTTGATCTGGTCAAAAGGAGCTCTAATAGGACTGCTAAAAAAAATGTATTTAACAGAGATGTGAGGTTGATCTCAACTTCACTTTTTAAGTAAAAGACGGTAACAATTCAGCACAGTAACATGATGAACAAGTTTTTATTTGTTTTTAGGACACTATGTTCTGTGGATGTGTGTGTATTGTATATGAATATACATATCCATATGTGAACATACATATCCGTATGTGAATATACATATCCATATATGAATATACAAATGCACAAAAACCAAGTGACAGCACATAACTCTTCAAAGATGCTTGAAATGGCTCATTTTCTGGTTTTAAGAAAACAAATATAAGAGGCAAAATTTCCCTCAACTTAAACAAAATTATTTATTGTGATTTAAATGGTCTATTTCAACTTGATCATTGGTATAATAATTCTGTGACATAAATCAGTATGAAGTATGCAGAAAGGACTAGTAGGCAATCACACTTAAATTACAACATAAAAATACAGCAAATCAAACTTTAGAAAGCTTCCTTCCATCCATAGGATACACTGTTCCATGACTGAGAACAATGTGATTTGGTCCTGGAAGGTAGCTCTCGTTCACAGGTGATATGTATCAACAGTGTGACTCCATGAAAACTGAAGAGAAATAACCTTTACCCAATCCTGATGTTTCTTGACATAAATGCAAAATGCTTCTGCAGTAGCCAAGGTGGCTTACCCATAGGAGTCAGGGGAATTCCCCTTTGAGCCAGGCAGCACTGCCTGCACCCCAACAATGAACAGCACCACTGGAGGACACCAAGCCAGAGAGCGAGGGCTGGAACGAGCAGCAAGCAACCACGAGTGCACACGCTCCAGACCAAATGCAGTGCCAAAGCAAAGGGAGACAGGCAGAAGGCACGTGCTAGGACAGATAGTCAGGATGCTGGCAGACTTCCATCACCTAAAGTTCTGTGGATGTCCATTCCAATACGAAGATAACAGGGACCCTTGTGTCTAAAAGCAGTCCAGCACAGACGCTGGGAGGCACTAACTCAGTAGCTCAGACGCTGGGCTGTTTAAAGCTCTACCAAATGAGACAGAGTCATAACAGAGTTTCAACTCCATTTGGACATCTTACACATTATTCTCTGCAGAATAGGGGTATGCAAATTAATCAATTTTAATAAATATTAGAAATGTTTGTTATTTTGCAAATATAAAGAAAACTAGCTAAATAGAGCAATATAATAAAAATATACACTCGACAGATTCTTTTCACCATGAACACTTTTCACCTTTTTCTTTGAACATCTCAACACATAATTACAGTATCTTTCATTGACTTGCAAAATTTAACAAAAACCCAGTATCACGTAGTTTCAAAATATAAAATACTTTAGTGATAAGAGTTTGAGCTGCCAAGTAATAAAAATGGAAGGTAATGAATATAGTGAAATATGCTACAAAGTAATGTTAAAATACAGCCATCTGAATTACAAACACCAAATTATACAATCCAAATCATCTTCACAAGTGGACATTAGTTCATGAAGAACATAAAAAACAGCATAAACTCCACTTAGTTTGCACATTTCCAGCAACTCCAGCACCTGAAAAGTCATGCGTGTCTGCCCCAAATCAACTGCATGTTGGCTGTGGTCACTAATTCTATTTTATCCAGTATTCAATCAACAAGGCTTTAAAAAAACTTCTTATTTAATTCAGGAAACAATGTGATGTAATATGTAGCCATCAGTAAGAGACAATGACTGGAGTACGTTACTTGCTTATGTTTTAATAACAAACCAGAGGCAGCCAAGGAGGGTTCCATACAACCACGTACCCACATACAGTTTCCTTCCAGACTCTGTCATGAGCATGACAGCAGTCAGACTACCCAAGATCAACACTGATGGTAAAGTCTTCTTGACACTTAGTCTGGAATGAACACTTTTCCCAGGAAATTTGTTTCTTCTTTCTGGATCTGGTGAATCATAGAATTCTATGAGCAACCTATGGCCAGAATGAAAAACAGCAGAATTGATACTTGCAGTTTTAAGCATTTTGGTGTTGAAACAAACAAAAAAATCATTTACTGGATACTAAATACTTGCTGAGCAAGTACAGTTCCTTAGAAAACCCAGGTGAGTGAGGAGACATCAGAGATTGTAACGCAGGATGCTCACCACTAGTTTATGGTATCATTGTAGTATATCCTTACCATATGGGAAGTGAAACTCAAAACAGGCCAGACAGGGTGTCAGATCCATTGAAATAGGACTCACCGACAACTGTGAGCCACCATGTGGGTGCTGGGAAACAAACCCAGGCCCTCTGGAAGAGCAGCAAGCGCTCAACTGCTGAGCCATCACTCCAGCCCATTTTTGTTTTTTACCTTTCCATCTAGAAGAAGTTATAGCAAGCTGACTCGTATGACTAGTGACCTACCAGCTTCACTCCTTCCTCCCACAGCTCTCATCCCGTAAAACGTAAACGGTTGAGGCTGTAGCTCAATGGTAGAGTGCTTGCCCATCATGTGTGAGCCTCTGGATCCAACTCACAGGAATAAGCTTTCAAAGAAGTTAAAGAAAAGAAATTCTTACAACATAGAGTTTTCATCCTGTGGCAGTTTGAATAATATGTCCTCTATAGGTTCATATATTTGAATGCTTAGTCACCAGGGAATGGTGACTATTTGAAAAGGATTAAGAGGTGTGGCCTTGTTGGAGAAAGTGTATTCTGGGAGTGGACATGAGGTTTCAAAAGCCCATGCCAGACCCAGTCTCCCTCTCCCTCTCTCTCTATTGCTTGTGGATCAGGATGTAACTCCCAACTACATCTTCAGCACCATGCCTGCCTGCATGCTCCCATGCTCACCATCATAATGACAATGAACCAAACCTCTGAAGCTGTAAGAAGTCCCTGATTACATTCTTTCTCCTGTAAGAGCTGCTTTGGTCATGGTGTCTCTTCACAGCAACAGAGCAGTGCCTAAGATACCTCCCAAAAGTTCTTAATCCCATGTAATTATAAAAACAGACGAGACAAATAAAGAATGTAGTTTATTAATTCTCCCCTCTGACTTAAACATGTAAAGTTATAGCAGAAGGACAGGACAGACAGCACAGGAAGAATTCCTATTGCCTTAAGGGCATATCCATAGAGGTAACAATGTTTGGTGTAGAGTACTTTAAGATGTGTTACATTTGTTTATGCTGTGGAACATTTGTTTAATGATGCAAAGATGTGTTGCATTCTTTTATGTTACATTTGTTTAACTCTGTGAAGCTGTGCCTGTCTAAAACACCCGAGGGTCTAATTAAGAGCTAAATGGCCAATAGCAAGGCAAGAGAAAGGATAGACGGGACTAGCAGACAGAGAGAATAAACAGGAGGAGAAATCTGGGAAGAAAAGATTGAGGTATGAAAGAAAGGAGGAAAGAAGGGCTCCAGGGGCCGGCCACCCAGCCACACAGCAAGCCCTGAAGTAAGAAGTAAAGAAGGTCTATAGAATAGAAGAAGATAAAAAGCCAAGTGGAATAAGGTAGATGGGATAACTTAAGAAAAGCTGGCTAGAAATAAGTCAAGTGAAGGCTGGGCATTCATAAGAAAAAATAAGCCTCCATATGATTTATTTGGGAGTTGGGTGGTGGGACCCCAAAGAGCATAAGAACCAAAGAGAAAAAAGCAAAAACAACACATATGGTGTCTGTAACACAAACAGGTGGGCACTAAACACTGTCCAGTCCTTTTCTGAAAACGCAGTTTCATATTAAGATACATAGGTCTTCTTACACTTTTCCCATCACCAATTGAAAAATTATGTCAGGTACTAGCACGTGACAACGAAATCTATTATGAAATTTCACTTTCAACCAGCAGTATTTTTTTTTTTTACTAATTCAAGAAAGGAGGCTAGCCGGGCGTTGGTGGCACACGCCTTTAATCCCAGCACTCGGGAGGCAGAGGCAGGCGGATCTCTGTGAATTCGAGGCCAGCCTGGTCTACAAAGCGAGTTCCAGGGCAGTCTCCAAAACAATACAGAGAAACCTTGTCTCGAAAAACCAAAAAAAGAAAAAAAAAGAAAAAGAAAAAGAAAGGAGGCAATTTCACTATGAAAACATCAACTGTCCCCTCCTCTTCCCACAGCACACTGGTGCTGTGCTCACCTGTACTTCAAGGTCATGATCTCCACAGCCTGGCTGTTCCCTCCTGTGTAGCCAGCAGAGGAAAGGCTCTTCCTTTCCGTCTTATGTCATACGTCATAGCAGCCTACCGTCCAGAAAGCACGGCAGGTAGGCCATCATGACATAAGCTTTACAGTAACTCATGACAGTTTAAAACGTGAGCATGTAAGGGCAGAGTAAGATTTAACTTGAGTTCATAAAAAGCGATCTTGAAACAATACAAACTTTAGTTTCACTTTAGCTGTGCCATTAGCTTTTGAAAAAAGCCTCCTAGTTGACCCTGTTTAGTTGTCATTGTACAGACACCAACAGCCGTACTGATGTAGAAATGCTGAAGTTAATTTTTATACAAGGGCAATGCACTATTAAACGTGTTACACAGGAAGTATGCAAGGTCTTATCTACGCAAGTTTGATTAGTATTTCCTAAACAATGAAAACACCTCTTTTTAAACTGGTTACTATTGTGAAATTTAGTTGAACTGCAGCTTATGAATGCTGGAGCTGTTACCACTTACTTATCTTTTATCTCAAAGCGCTCATGAAGCCATTTTTTCATGTGTTCTTGCTCCTCTGGAACTTCATTTTTGTCTATACGATCAAAGTGAATATGAAGCTTGGGACACTGTTTGCAGAGAAACTCTAACAAAGAAGAAAAAGATTTTAGGTCTTACTACTCTAGAATTCATGATTACATAAAGTGACTTACAGTGAAAACAAAGGAATAAATATCCAGAAAAGTTGGAAAACTATAAACTTATGACTTGCAGTATTAAGCTCCATATCAGTACACAGCACTTGCTAACCCTGGGTTGACTGTCACTGGCTTCTAGCAGCTGAACTGGAGAAACAGCCATACTGCCTCTAGGAATGGAAATGCCATAATGAAACCTATCACTTTGTATACTAACTTAAAAATTAATTTTAAAAATATTTACATTAGCCGGGCATTATGGGCAATATGGGTACATATCAGGTGTACTGTTAACAGTAAACATACCTGGGATATTTTGAATGGAACATAGTTTTAATGTAACTATATAAAATAGCTGGGCGTTGGTGGTGCACATCTTTAATCCCAGTACTCAAGAGGCAGAGGCAGGCGTGTGAGTTCGAGGCCAGCCTGGTCTACAGAGAGAGTTCCAGAATAGCCTCCAAAACAATACAGAGAAACCTTGTCTCGAAAAACCAAAAAAAGAAAAAAGAAAAAAAATTACATTAAAATATTTTATATTTTAATGCCTTTTCTCTTTCACTGCCAAAGTCAGTTTCTTCCTCAAAGTATGGAAGAAAGCTGGCTGGTTTCGACTATCAAACTGCTTCATGTTCCTATGGCTTAACATGAAAATAAAGACAAGTACTGGATAAGTATTTAATACAAAGGGAGTGTGTGGGGCCAAGGAGACTGCAGATTTCTTTAAAAATAAACTTGAAGTGTTCATCACACTGTGGCGTGTAGACATTTCTTAGAGCATATCTCCCTTCTGCCTCTTCTTCCTCAGTACTGGGATTATAAGAGAGCTCTATTGTCATGTGTCAAATGTGTCTCTCGCTTCTCCTCTCTCTCTCTCTCTCTCTCTCTCTCTCTCTCTCTCTCTCTCTCTCTCTCTCTCTCTCTCTCTCTCTCTCTCTCTCTCTCTCCCTCCCTCCCTCTCTCCCTTCCCCCTCTCAAAAGAACCCTCTGAAAGGAGCCAGTATCTTCCAGCCCTCCTTTCATCTGTCCCCATGTTCAAATGTTGAGTTTGTAGCTACAGTTACCTAAACTATTCCCACTCCAAGCCCTTTGGTTGTATGACACAAACAATAGTTCTGAGTCCTTAAAATCTAGCACGTGCTTGAAAATGGCACAATTTCTTCTTGTATGATAATACAAATGTCCTTCCCAAACATGCTATAAAGAAGGCTCAAGACAAAAAGAATAAAAAAAAAAAAAAAGGGTATGTTGTGCGTGTGTGGAGTGGGGGAGCTGGGTGTAGTGGCCTGAGTTCAAGGCCAGCTTGGTCTACATAGTGGGACCTTGTACTGAAAAATAAAGCAAAACAAGATAAAAAAACAACAACAACAAAAAAGAAGATTCAAGGCTACACTGACCATCACTTACTCCTTGACATTGCTAGACGAGCAGCTTGTCCTCATATCTTTGTAGATCTTTGCAGCCTCATATGTGAACCTCTGGCAGAAAGAAGCCAGGTTAATGACCTCCACAGACTCATCAGAAATGTGAAATTTAGAATGATGAGTCAAATTTCAAATATCATACATTAGTAACCAATAGTAAGTGAAATAAAGGAGGCCAGCTTCAGGGCTAGACAATCTTAACACAGGGGTGGCTGAATCAGGAGAATTGCAAACTTGAGGCTAGAGCAAATAGCAAGATACCATACTTCTGGAGGAAAGCAATGAGTACACTCACTAATTAAAAAAAGAAAGAAAGACAAGAGTTTATATCTTACCTATACCATGTACTATTCAGCCTCTAATACACAAAAATGTGGACTTACCAGTCATGGACGGTGAGTTTGAGTATTTTCCTGACCCTTTCTCATTCCCTTCGTAAACCACTGTGACATCGTAAATTGCATCTAAATGACTCTTCATAGAATCAAAAGCAACGTGAGTTGCCTTTACTCTTGGTGTCAGCACGTGTTTTAATACTGGAAGGCCTAGAAAGCAGGTGGATTCAGTGTGGTCATGATTAGGAATACATTAAGTTCAACATCTACATTCTTTATCAACTACCACAAATAGACAGGAATTAAAAAGTTTAATACCCTAAGCTCACATCTATGAGCTGGCTATGTGCTAAGAATGCTCTCTTGCATTGCCATCTTTACTTAGGTCATATATTCATTAGACATGTACATGAAGGAGACACCTGACGGAAGCTGGGGAAGGCTGCTCCTCAGGAAGCTTATGACCCACTGGGACCCTTCTCTTGGGTTAGCCCTGGCAGGAAAGATACCACAGAAGGGCAACAACATCTTGCCAAACACTCACATTTTTAGGAATAGAATTCATCATTGCCTCCACTCTCTTCTATATACTGAGAATTTCACAGGAAACACAAGGTCTCACTATGGAATTTCAACAGTGACTAGGGAGAACCCAATTTGAAGTTCCTATTGCTTCTCTCCAGGGAAAGTGGCTACATAAGGAAGAACAGCAGAAGAACAGCTACAGTATGGTGGGACTGTCCTCAGAAGAATTTTTAAAATGCAGGGTGGTGTGGGAATGAAAATGATTCCCACAACCACATATCTGACTTCAGTCCCCAGGGCAGAAAGAGTATAATTTATTCACAAACTTGTATCAAAGTCTGAAAAGTCAAACAAGCTGGGAAACTTATCTTGTCAGCTAAGTCCTTCTTTGCTACTATAGCCCATCCAATCTCAGAACTTTTACAGAATCACCCTGTCAAGCTTGCAGGGTACATATCACCTTGACCAGGATTATGGATGAATGGATGGATGCATGTGTGGATGGATGGATGGATGCATGGATGGATGCATGGATGCATGGATGGACAGACCCAGGCTGACCTCAGATTTATGATCCTCCTACCTTAGATCCCAGCCATTGGTATGCACTACCATTTCAACAACACTGGCTTAACCAGTATTTTTATTAGATGGTTAGAACTGGAAGCCCAAAAAGCAGATTAGACATGGTATCAACACATGAGAAGAAAAAACTTAATGCAAATTCTTGTTTGTCTGTACCTAGGTACATCCAATCCACTAATGTCTAATTATTACAACCACACAAACTATGCTTACAACTGTTAGGGTCTATAGAAATGGCTCCACTTCATCTTGACTGAAGGTCAGAGAGTTTTTGTCTGCCCTTGCTCTTCCAAGATGAAATAACAAGGATGTCTGGACTAAGATGTGAATGCAACAGGATACTTGGCATAGGATGTGGTTGCTGTATGTCCTTCCTGAACTATAGAATGCTTAAGTCAAGATATAGTTACTTGGTGTGGTCGCTACATGTCCTGCTTAAACAAGAGAATATTTAATTGAAGAGATAGTTACTTGATGTTTTGGGTATGGAAAAGGTAATTACACTTGCTTGTTTTTATATCTTGGTAAGGAAGTCTTTTGCCTTCCTTTTCTTTAGTATCTTTATCTGTCGTATCTCAATCCACACTCTCCCTCTCAGGTACAAACCCTACAAGTTGGCTGGATCCGACTGAAACCCCCCAAAGATAGGTTCTTACAGATGGCCCCTCAATATCAGGCACAAACAAAGTCTGGTTACTACATACAACTAAGACAAAGCCTGGCCCTTCGGTGATGGCACAGAAGGAAATTCCCATCCTAAGTCAGACAGCACATCCTCCTCCTCTAGTCTTAATGTAGAAAGAACTGTGGTTCCCAACCAAGTGCTTCTCAATTCTGAAACATGATGTGGCATACACTATCCTGAAACTTAAAGTCGTTAGCTGACTGATTCTTCCTAGTGTATTTATCCAATTCCTACATATAATCTTAACGGACTTGTATGAAAATACCACAATGGCCCCTTATTTTATGGACTCATTTTAAAAATAATTAAGAAATGAAAATTGTCCCAAAAAGTAAACAAAACAAATAAACCCTCCTTGTGGATATCTAGTTCCTGTTCTGGCGTCTCTCTGCTTTCCTCTCCAGGTCTCTTCAATTATTCTTCAGAAATAGGGTAAATGGGGTCAAATGCACAGTAATACTTGTCATGTCTGATGTAACTAGAGAGCTAACTAAAGACAACTTACCTTCCCTTTAGTGCTAAAGGAATTCTACTAAACCCTTTGGTCAAAGTTCACCCTCAGAGACACAGTAGTGGCTGGGTAACTAGACACAGGCTAGAGGAACTTTGAGAAGAGGGATCATCAATTAAGGAAATACCTCCTGAAGAATTTACCTGTAGGCCAGCCTATAGTGCTTTTTTTTTTTTTTTTTTGATGACTGACATGGGAAGGCCCAGATCATGATAGTCCTGGGTTCTATAAGAAAGTAAGTTGAGCAAGTCATGAGGAGTAAGCCAATAAGCAGCACTCCTCCATGGCCTTTGCATCAGTGCCTGACTCCAGGTTCCTACCTGTTTGAATTTCTGCTGTCTACCCTCAAAATGGATTATGATATACAACTATGAGCTGAAACAAATCCTTTCCTCCCCTGGTTGCTTTGGGTCATGGTGTTTTATCAGAGCAATGGAAATCCTCACTAAGATGGCAGAGAGTTTATGTTCTTAATGGCCAGAGAAATGAGACAACAAATAAGGTTGCTGATAACTCAGAAATCAGAGGCATAAACAAATGGGCTCAGGGGGGGCTAGCAAGATGGCTGAGAAGGCACATGGGCTTGCTCCAGAACACACACTTCTTAAACACACAGCTATGGCACATGTGTTCTGTCTTTGCAGAGGGAGCAAATCCCATCTTCTTGATTTCTGCTGTACCTCTCAATATTAGCTTAGCCATTACTAATAGACTTGCCTGCGGTGGCACCTGACCTGCACTCTCTAATTATTACACATACACCTATATTTCCATATGACACACATATATTTGTGTACGTTTATTTATGCTATACCGAGTCACTCACAAAAGTGCACTTTCTTGGAATAATCATTTACTTCACAGCATGGGAATATGAGCCATGGCAAGCATGTGGACTAACCTCTGTGACACAACTTACTAAGAATCTACTTAACTCTGTAAAAGATCAGACATTCTTTCATTCAGTTCTTATAAGAAACACATATTCTCATGGGCTGGAGAGATGGCTCAGGTGTTAGGAGCACTGACTGCTCTTCCAGAGGTCCTGAGTTCAATTCCCAGCAACTACATGGTGGCTCACAACCATCTACAATGAGACCTGGTGGCCTCTTTTGAAATACATGCAGAACACTGTATACATAAAAAGTAAGTAATCTTAAAAAAAGAAAGACACACAGACATATTCTATAGGAAGAAGCTAAAGAAAACAAAGATCATTCTCCTCAAAAAGTATTTTTCTCAATCAGTCAAAGTTTTACTTACCCCGTTGAGCAGCAAATGCCTGACTGGCTGAAAGTATTTTTGTCTGTGTCTTATTATACCTTGTTCCCTCTGGGAAAATCACAAGATACATCTGTGGGGCACAAATAAACTTTAGTTTGTGTGAGTCTATTGTTGTGACCACTGACTTAGCAATTGGAACTGTTACTGTTGCAGCAGTGTTTCATATGGTGAGAAAATGTATATTCATTTACAAACAACCTTCACTTTAGCAGAGATTCAATTAAGGCTGACCACAACAGGGGCTATAATAAAATGTAGCTCTACATTTATGGTAAAGCCAATTGTTTAGGAAACAGTTTTAGAATATGACAGTAGTCACTAATATAAAATTTGGACATAAAACGCTGTTGTGATTAATGACTACTCTTTCCAGTTCCCCAAAATAAACCATGACATGTCTGCACATATTAAAATTGTAATACCACATAATAACTGTACATGTTGGTAGAATCTGCTGTATGCCTACACAAACACATAGAATGCATTATCATATCCAACCTCCAGTCTTCCACTTTTATAGGGGTGTAGCTAGCAATGTCTTTAAGTATCAAGGCTAACAGTACATCTATCTGAATGCTGCTTATGAATTTAGAATTTGCATTTCAAAAGGTTCATACAATATTCCACTGTATAGAGCTCTCTGGGTGCATTTTACATCACTTACTTTAAGGGACCTCATACTCATTACATAAAACTGAGAATACAGTATCTGCAAACAAAATGAAGTAGCAAGATAGATAATAAGTCATCATTTGATGTAAGTTTTTATACTTAATATCTTGGGAAAGTAAAATTATTAAGGCCATGTAATTAGAAAATTCCTACTTGAGAACTGGATGGTGTAAAATACTTTTTAATTGGTGGCCAACAGACAAACTCATCAAGTAAACAGAATAATATAGAAAACAATAGGATAGGGATTCATGAGAGAAAACTATGTCCATTTGCTCATGTTCAAATGATCCCAAACAATACCATTTTCCTCTACAGCTATTATAGGAAGCAATGTTTTTTTTTTTTCTGAGCATTCTGTGGTTATAAAAGTCCTACTAAATGAACCCATAGAATATAAATTTGCTTATGAAACAAGCTAGCAAAGAATGCAGTAAGTCATCTGAAAAGCTGATATCATGTACAACAGCATCCCTACAAGTCTCCATTTTCAGCTCCCTTTGTCCCCAGGGCCTGGCATTGTGAACATTGGATCCCCAGCTGTGGCATTATGCTGAGAGCTTGTAGAGCCTTTAAGGTATGCGGCCTAACTGAAGGAAGTCATTGAGGGGCAGGCTTTGAGATTACAACCCAGTTCCACTTCCTGTCCCACCCAGATGTGAGCAAACCTAGCTGGGTTGGTGGCCTCAGCTACGTCACAGTGCCACTCTGCATGATGAAATATACCAACAAAGCACAGGCCAAAATAAAGCCTTCCTTCAAATGGCTTCTTACTAGAAATTCAACTAGGCTTCTAAGCAGAGTGGGTAATACAAAACATAGCACAGAGAGTGGTGTTATTGCTATGGTAAACCTGACCCCATAGCTCTTGGGCATTTGGTCTTAGGTCTTCAGGGATGTTTGAGTGTAGAATTTGGAAGATTTTGTGGCTATTATGTAGAGAACCCCTAAAACATTGTAACCAGAACTTGACTGGCCAATCTGATGGTAGCTCAGAAAATCAGGGCGAGAGAAATGCAAACAGTGAGGCCAGGTTCATGATGTTTCAGAAGAAACAGTGAAGATTGGGAGTTGTGCCAAGAGACTCCTGTTGTTACATTCCAGAAGGAATCTGGCTGCATTTTACCCATTTCCTGATAATATGAGTTAGGCTGAATTAAAAAGCAATGGAATAATATCTTTGGTAAAGGAACTCTCAAGACAACAGTATCCAGGTTCTGGCATTATCAGTGCTCACCACTCTTGGTCAGACTTACAATGAGAAAGAACAGAAAGATGTGGGGGAAAACGTGTGGTTTGGGAATGATGAAAGGAGTGTGAGCAAGTTTAAAGTTTCAGACAAGGGAAGTGTGAAGAAAGCAGCTAGGCTAGAGGTTAATTCTGGAACAGGAAAACCTCCTCATATTCTGTACTGAGACAAAAGATGCCCTCAGGGCAAAAGACTCCCATCCATGGAAAGGTCCAGCCTACAAAAAGCAAAGTCATTTGAGGATAGAGTGTGAACTGAGAAAGTCTCAGCAGGGATTATCTCCTAGAAGACAATCACTCAGCTAAGCATTTTTTGAAGTTACATTGCAAAGGCCACTGAAGTCCAAAGGGTCCAGGCTGTTTCTTGAAATAGCATTAGATCTCAGCAGCAGCACCAAGTAACATTAAGAGTGAAATGTAGGGGTAACAGAGGTTTGTACTAAGGCTTCAGAAAGCCTGTCAGACAAACATGTAGCAGGGGTAGATTTCCTGCATGGAGCTCCTGAGTGGGCTGCTCTTTTCAGAAAAGACAGAGAAGGAATGGCTCTGGGGATGAGGGGAGATGTGCATGTGAGGGTAACTGGGAAGAGCGGGGGGGGGGGGGGGACGGCTGATGGAATGTATTGTATGAGAGAAGAATAAATTTAAAAGGAATCAGGCAAAATAATTGTTCCTAGGGCAGTTGCCAAGGGTGAGCTAGTTTCAAATCTTATTCCAACAATCTTTTTCTAAGTTTGTCTGTTATACTATCTATAAATAAGGCCAAACACTCCATTAACTGAAAATCATGATTCTTTTTTTTTGTACTCCTCCTGTATTCATTATATTTTTCTTCCCTACTTTATTAAAAATAAATTCAGCTGGGCAGTGGTGGCAAATGCACTTAAGAGGCAGGTGCAAGCAGATCTCTGAGTTCTAGGCCAATCTAGTATATAGAGTAAGTTCTCAGACAGGCTCAGCTATACAAAGAAACCTTGTCTCAAAAAACAAAAAACCAATAAATAAATAAAAAATAAAAAAGCCAAAAATAAATAAACAAAACTTTTTAAAGTTGGCTACATGTACTAACTTCTTTGCCACTGACCAAAGATTGTTTTTATCCTCTAAAGTTGTCATGAACACGAGGCAGGTGGTCAGAGTAGGAGATTAAACCTCAAGTGCACCAGGCAAGAAAAGCATGACCAAAGGGCAGCCTGAAGCTTCTGAACTCTCTTCTCAACTGAGAGCCACAGAGAAAGCCTGCCAGCTACAGCACACAGACTACGTTCAGGCTTTTGCTACTACCCACATTCAGTGTCCTATCTGTTGAACTCCTACTGGAAGAATCAGTTTCATTCTCTTCTTTGATGATCTTCTATATATTTTAAAAATACGTATTCAAGATAAAATATCATTTTAAAGAGGTACTTCAGCCTCTGATGGAAAAGTAGAAATGTGTTTTACACTAAAAACTAATAAAAAGAAGAGCTATTTAACACAATTATTAGATTTCTAAATATGTTTAAATTATAGCCTGTTATTAAAATGATCATTTTCTATTAAAAGCAGTCTTTATCCATGAACTGCATTAATTTGTCTACTTTTTCACTGAGTATCAGTCTCTTATTGCAAAGTGAGAGATTGTTAAAGGACTAGAGGAAACTCCAAGTAGCAATTTGCATGCTCTTAAAGTTTCCTTCTATTCTAGTTCAAAAAAACTAACTTACTAGTCAATTTTTAAACTCAACACATTTATATAGCAGTAACCTTAGAACTTCAAAACTTTTTTTTTTTTTTTGGTTTTTTGAGACAGGGTTTCTTTATGTAACAGCCCTGACTGTCCTGGAACTCACTCTGTAGACCAGGCTGGTCTTGAACTCACAGAAATCCGCCTGCCTCTGCCTCCCAAGTGCTGGGATTTAAGGCGTGCGCCATAGAACTTAAATCTTGATTAGCTATATACTCCATAATACGCTTATAAGAAAACTGCAAAATATAATTTCCTTTCTCACTGAGCTTATTATTGACTATGGAAACACAAGGTGCACACACACACACACACACACACACACACACACACACACACATACACACACACACATACACACAGAGACACACAGAGTATGGAAGGAAAGACAGTAAGCTGCATCTTGGAGGTTTCTATGCCTGTATCTTGGGAACTTGCGACAACATGGTAGTCCTGTGTCATAAAGGAAGTCCACTGGACCTTAAAATACAGATAGCCATAAACAACCGAGGAAGCCCAATGTAATCACAAGGGATCTGTCATAGAAAGAGTGACGGTGAAGAATTGGACTAAGAAAGTGCTACTAAGGAAAGCACAGACCAGCTGTTGCTAGTTTTGGGTATGTCCTGAAACCATGAGACTGGCAACAACTAAAAAGTTGGAAAGTCAAGAATGTTATTCTTTCTAGTCTTCAGAAAGAACCATACGTTTTAAATCAGGAGTGTTGAACCTGTAACATCCAAGAGTTTTCCAAAATTAATGATACCAAGCCACAGAACCATGCTCAGAGAGGCTTATCCAGGCTTAAAAAACAAACAAACAAACAAACTTATAATACTTTGCTTAAGACAGAGGCAAAGACCAACTGACGAAAGCAGCCAGAGAACACAGGCCCCAACACACAGAACAGTCTCCACACAGAGCACTTGGATGGCCATTTTACTAGAAGACACAAAGAAAGGGTACACTATGAATACAAGGCCAACATCCACGTAAAAATGAAGCTGTTTATCTCCTTCATAGATACACCCCATAGTAGAATAGACGGGAAACTTTAAAGCAATCCTCTCTGTCTGGGTTGAATGAGTTGGAGGAAAGAAGGGGCACACAAATCCATGCCTTTATATTCTACATTATCAAAAAAGAACAATTCTGTCTTCTGAAGATTTAAAAAAAAAGCCAATTCTACTAAATTTCATACCGTTTCAAACAAGGCATCCCCCTTTTCCGTGTTACGGCTGCTTGCTAGAGTGTGCTGTAAATGGAGAATGGGCCACTGCTTATCATTATATCCTATTCCCACCATCTCCAAATTAGGTGCGATTTCCTACATTAGAAAGTTCTGGAAGACACTCAGAAGTAAACAATGATCATACCAGCCAATAATCAGCTCTGGTTGCTGACTGGTAAGTGGAGGCCATGAGGTAAGAAGCAGATGAGAGGAAAAAGAGAACTCTGAAAGTTCTTACCACAGTCATGTTGCTCTACTACAGAGAGAGAGCCATAGGAAAAAAGCATTTGGAAGCAATTAGCACTCTTGAAATAGAAGATTGAAATTCTTCTTTTTTCCCCTTTATGGGGAAAAGTTCTATAAAATATTCACTTTAAATGATTTTTCATTAGGAGACTCTTTGCTTTGTTTTTTGTAAACCTTAATTTATTCAATAAAAATCCAAATTTACACAAGTAGAAAGCAGTTGCTCTTCTAAAACTAAATTTAGTATGAAGACTAGCTCTTTGGTTCTTGTATGTAAAGCTGCCAATGAACCTCCATCCTCTGTAGACTAAAAGACAATGTTTGCTCTTCGTGAGCCTAGGAAAAACCATATAATTATCAGTAGCAACCTTCCCTGATAGCCAAGAGGACAGTTTATCATGGGTAATATGCTTTCAAAATGACTTAGAGTTTAATTTCTTAAATTGCAAACTGAGTTGAGGAATGGGAACAGCACTCTTACTGGTGTTCCTGCGTTCACGTAGCTCTGAAGTTTGTTTCTCATTTCTTTTTCATTAAATTTGGCACTTCGTTTTACATAAATTCCTCCATGCTGTTGCATAAAAAAGAAAAAGAGCAATTACTCTTTAAATATCTAGTCATCACAGTCATCAGAAGAGCAATGAATAAACAATAAAACTACATTTCAGAACCCAAGCTACAGATATTATTTCAATATTACTATCCCCACAATTTGTAACCAAAAATTCTATTTCTACAGAACCCAAGTAAAACTGTGTGCTGCGTTGTACTGGAAAGTACACAAACATCTACTTTTGTCAGCAGTTAAAATATTCTTTCTTTCTTTACAAGATTTTATTCAAAAACTTTTATGAATACAGGGAGAAGGCAGACTTCAAGCCAAAACTGTGGGCCTTGGGAGAAAGCAGCACCACCCACACCCTGATCTTGTTTTATCTCCTACAGATCACTAACTACTTCTGAATAGATTTCTTTTTTTAAACTTTTTTTGTTTGTTTGTTTGTGTTTGTTTTGTTTTTTGAGACAGGGTTTCTCCTCTGTAGCTTTGGAGGCTATCCTGGAACTAGCTCTTGTAGACCAGGCTGGTCTTGAACTCACAGAGATCCGCCTGCCTCTGCCTCCGGAGTGCTGGGATTAAAGGCATGCACCACCACTGCCCAGCTTTTCTTTTAAAAAGTAGCCGGGCCGTGGTGGCACACGCCTTTAATCCCAGCACTCGGGAGGCAGAGGCAGGCGGATCTCTGTGAGTTCGAGGCCAGGCTGGACCGATAGCCTCCAAAACAATACAGAGAAACCCTGTCTCGTAAAAACAACAACAACAAAAAAAGTAATTTAATTTTATTTTATATGCATTGGTGTTTTTGACTTCATGTATGTCTGTGTGAATGTATTGGATCCTCTGGAACTGGAGTTACCGACAGTTGTGAGCTGCCATGTGGGTGCTGAAAACTGAAACCAGGTCCTTTGGAAAAGCAGTTAGTGCTCTTGACCAGTGAGACATCTCTCCAGCTTTGAATTAATTTCTTAACATAACTGATTGATTGTCAAATTCTATGCATTTTAATTTTCTGTTTGACTTCTAGGTATTTGTATTTCTGTTACTCCATTTAACTGTTTGGAAAACCAGGCATGTAGAGACTCATCACTAAGAGTTAAGAACTGTGAAGATGGCTTAGTTGGGAAAGCATTCGTCTCACAAGTATGAGGACCCAAGTTTGGATCCCTAGAATCCATGTAAATAACTGGACCCAACAGTTCATACTTATAATCTCAGTAATGGCAAGAAGGCAGAAACAGGTAGATCCTGGGGCTCACAGGTTGGTAGCCTGGCCAACATGGCAAAGGACTAGGAGGCTGTCTCAAACAGAAAGTAGAAGGTGCTTCAGCATGACACCCACACTTGGGCCTCAAATCTTCCCCTGACCTCTACATGCATCAATCTGTGCATGCTAGCACTGTGTGTGTGAACACACACAGAATTCTAAATAAAAATACTTAAATTTAAAATAAGCCAGCCAGGCGGTGGTGGCGCACGCCTTTAATCCCAGCATTTGGGAGGCAGAGGCAGGAGGATCTCTGTGAGTTAGAGGCCGGGCTAGACCAACAGCCTCCAATACAATACAGAGAAACCCTGTCTCGTAAAACCAAAAATAAATAAATAAATAAATAAATAAATAAATAAATAAATAAATAAAATAAGCCATTAATGCCATTTTTAAAACATCTGTATTGAGGATGTAACTCGGTAGAAGGCTACTTGCTAGCATGCACGAGGGCCCATGTTTAATCACTAGTACCATAAAACAAAGAAAATTAGATATATTTTCATTAAATTGCTTTCAGTTTGAAATAAGAGAGCAACAACAAAGGTTACCTGAGCAAAGTAAAACCCATACAATGGGAGCCATTTTAACTTGTCTTTCAGCACATAGCGCACATGTCCAAGGGCATCCTGCCGTGCAGCCAGCATGTCCGCAATAATCCAGTCAACTGTAAGACAGAACCCAGTCAGTACTTCACCAGCCAGAGTCAACTCCAACCTTCCCCTCAGAAACAAAACCCTTCTTCATAGCACTGCCTTCACAACGTAATTGAAAACATGACTATGGAGGCAGAGGCAGAGGGATCACAAGCTCAAAGCCAACCTGGTCTACAGAGCAAGTTCAGACCCAGTAGGGCAACACAGCAAGACCAGGTCTTAAAATAGTTTTTTTTTAAAAATATTTTTTTATTAATTTATTTTTTGCACTCCAATCCCGGGGCCCGTCTGCCCCCATCTCCCATCTGCTCTTTGGAGAGGGTAAGGCCTCTCCTAGGAAGTCTACTAAGTCTTTCCCATCATCTAGTTGAGGCAGGACCAAGGCACCTCCCCACCCCCCACACCCCTGTGTCCAGGTAAGGCGTCTCCAAATAAAATGGGCTCCATTAAGTCAGTTTGTGCATTAAAGTTAGATCTTGGACCACTGCCAGTGGCCTCATATATTGTCTCAGCCACACCATTGTCACCTATATTAAGGGAGTCTAGTTCACTCTTATGCAGGTTCCCCATTTGTCAGACCTGAGTCAGTGATCTCTCACTAACTCGGGTCAGCTGATTCTGTGGGTTTCCCCATCATGGTTGTGACTCCTTTGTTCGTATTATCGCTCCTCCCTCACTTTGATTGTACTGCAGGAGCTTTGGCCCAATGGCTAGTTGTGGATTTCTGCATCTCCTTCCATTTGTTTCTGGAAGAGGGTTCTAGCTTCTCTGGGGGTGTGGGTTGTAGGCTGGGTTTCTTTTGCCATTGTTGTGGTGTTGGTTTTTTTGGAATTGTTTGATCCCGCAAATTTCAGAGAATACACAGATAATCCCATTATCTTGTTAATCTCTGAGTGAAAAAAATCAATTTTAATTTATGATGACCTAAAATCCTGGTGCCATGTCTAAAGGCAATAGGAGGAACAGTCATCAAATTAAGTTTTTAATTTTTAATAAGAAAATATGGTTAAAATGCTTAAAACAAAGTCAACTCCAGACACATTAAAAATAAATAAAATAACTTTAAATCAAGGAGGAGCTACCTTTTCACATTTCTTAAAAGGCCTTTTATTTCAAGGATGAAACACAAAAGCTGGAGAGATTTTACTTAGTGGTTAAGGACACTCGCTGTTCTTGCAAAGGACACAGATCTGGTACCAGGATGGTGGCTCTACCTCTAAATCTAGTTCCAGGGGACACAAAGCCCTCCTCTGAGTTCCACAAGCACCAGGCATACACATGATACATATATGCAGGGACTCATACACATACATTAAAGAAACAAATGTCTAAAAATTTATATAATATTAAGTAATCCAGTAACAGAATATATAAGGAATAAAGTCACTTTTAGTTAAGACTAAAAGACCAGAAATGTTTCTTTTTAATGAAGAATGGGAAATTATAAACAAAAACTAGCAAATGAAATACGTGCAGCTAAATATTCAATGTATACAATGTCTGACAAAAGGCCACCATGCTACATCTTTACTATGACTTCCTGGACACAGTGTTCAACTGTAACAACACCCAAACAAGGATCCCATGTGACTTACAATAGTGCTAGCTAGGTATGTATTCCTTACTTCTCAGCTTTTGAGACTGTGAGTTGCAATCTCATAAAAGGTCACATAACAGATTTTAGGCGTTGAAAAAACTTTGGAATAAATTTTTTTAACAATGACCAAAAATTAAGTGAAAACCAAATGCACAATGAATCAGGTATTTCTGGCATCTCTCTTCAATGCTGTATTGTGCAATGTCACTGCAGCTTTCATTTTAAACATGCAACACTTGCGCTTCTTACTACATACACTGTCATACCATGCAATGCCAGCCAATGGTGCCAGAAACATGACTCAAATTCAAGGCCACTAGAATGTTACACACACATACACATTACACACACACACACACACACACACACACACACACACACACAGAGTTTCCTGCTGTACAGAAATATAATGCTTTATTTGCAGAAAATATTTAATATTTCACCACTAATATTCCTCAGCATGGAATATGTATATCTTTCAACTGTATTGCATTTGAATGTTTGATTTTAAAAAATGCTGTTTAACTGATAGCTTGAGTTTCATTAAATGAATTTTGACCTAGTAATAGAATGGAATTTCAAACAATTTCTGAAATAGCACTAAACACAATTGTGCCGTGTTATACTATGTGTTTTACAGAAACATTCTTAGAACTAACAACTAAAAAAAATAAAATCCTGATGAATTCTGAAAAATATTGATATGGTCTATATCCTGTAGTATCAAATACTCAGCCAAAGTCAACTCCTTATATACAAATTCATTCATACCATTAGTATACAAATTGTCTTTCATCTTTAATAAATGTTAAAATTATAAATTTAAATATATAAATAAAGCTCTCTACTATTTATTATCAGTAAATATTTGATCATATTACACTTATTTACCTGGGGGTCACGTAATACTTCCTCAGGTGAAATAAAGAGAAATAAGAGAGTGTCTTGAAAAGCAGAAAATTTTAAATTTAAGACAAGAATAAATGGCTGCTGGAACCTTCCATGAGAATGGAAATATCAAGGTGAGAGGTAAGGATAAATCTGCTAGGATTTAGAAAGGAATTCAAGGGTGTGAAATAGGGATGCTGAGAAATCTGAAATGAAGTGTATTCAGGGCCATCAAAATGGGAACAAATGGAATCAATTAGAGGAGACAATATTTAATTTAAAATAACAAATGATTACAGTCAGTTCAACAATGCAGGCCTATAATCCCAGCTACTTGAAAGACTAGAGCAGAAGGATCAGGAACTCCAGGCCCACCAAGGTAACTGAGTGAGACTGAGACTACACGTCAAAAGAAGAAAGAAGGACTGGGGGATAGCTCAGTAAGAAGTGCATCCCAATCCTGTGTGTGGCCCTGGGCTCTATGCCAGCATGAAAGAAAGTGTGTGTGTGGGGGGTGACATACAAACTATAGGAAATATTATAAAGCCTGGAGTTTAAAGTCTTATTGAATGGAGTAATTCTCACTGTTATACAGTATAATTTTTGATCATTTAAAATTTTTCCTAATGCACATACAAATGAAATATCCTAAGATTTTATTTATCCTTTTAAATAATGAATCTTTCAAGAAAAATCTTAATTAACTATTTTAATTAAGATTACAAAACAGTTATTTCTAGTTACATCTTGGAAACATAACTAAGCCTGTGAAAAGAGTATCTAATATAAAAGCTGTCTATATAAACAGAGAACTAGCTCTGTGAAGGCTCTATGCCAGTGGTTAACTTCCCTAATGCTGTGACCCTGGTCCTCATGTTGTAGTGACCCCTCCAACCATAAAATCAGTTCATTCATTGCTGTGCCATAACTATAATTTTGCTACTGTTATGATTCATAATATAAATATCTGGTATGCAACCCCAAACAGGTCATGACCCATGGATTGAGAAACACTAATCAATGTCATCCCCTGGCCAGTGTATGTCCTGGATATAAATGAGATAAATAGCTAAAAGACAAATTTGATATCTTTTCCTGACACCTTAATTTTTTTAAGCTTAGGGAATAATAAATCCATTTTTATATTTAAATAAGCAGTTATATTTTTGACTCTGGTACATGTTCTAAAACCTACTAAGAAAATACATAGATATTTTAAAATATGTCATGTGTACAGGAAAACTGCCTTGAACCATGCCCTTAAATATGAAAATTTTAGTAAAAACACTTAAGAAGTAACTTACAAACTGGACATGTGGCAATGCCTTGCTGGGGAGGGTGAGGCAAGGCAAATCTCTCTGAGTTCAAGGCCAGCCTGGTTTACAAGGAAAGTCCCAGGCCAGCTGAGGCTGCATAGTCAGACCTTGTCCCAAATAAAAAAGTAACTTAGTCAAATGACACAACATAGATCCAACATGTCTACTCTATCCACTCTTGCTGAGGTTTCAGAGATAACACTGGATTAAAACATAGAAGGGAATGTATTCATTCACTTGAATATCTGCATTCTGTGCTCTAGCAAAAATATTTAATTTTACTGTTAGGATTCTTTAGTAGTGATCTAGAAAAGCAGAGCCATGTTCTCCTTAACCTGAGGAGAGAACAGGCAAATAAACCTTATTTTCCTCATCTGTATAGTTGCATCTCATTAGTTTCTAATTTTTAAGGTTACAATATATAAAACGTTAAGAGCTTATGCCCACAATCCAGCACTGTGCTACAACCACCATCATCCACAGCACTGCTAAATGCCACCCATACGCCAAGCACTCTGAGATTATGAATCTATCAGTACATTGCCTTATCAATCAGTAGGTATCACTCACATCTAACTCATGGGCTCCGAGAACCCAACTAGTCTGTCCATAGGCACAGAGCCTACAGCAGAAGCACACACACACACAGGGTTTCCCAGACTGCAAATCTGTGTTTATGACTCTCTACTCCACTCAACTATACATAGCATTAGTCAGGAAACTGCCATCTAAACTAAATGAGCAGTAATGAAGTTTGAAAGGTAGTGTCTAAAGCAGACAATTTAAAGGGAAGGGAGGAATCACACATCTGAAGTCAAAAGTTTACGTAAGTAAGGATGTAGAGACAACAAAAATATCAAATAAAAGCAGCAGCTGAGAGACTGATGTAAATATTAACTCTACATGAACATCAGGTCAGACAGGTGAGGGTAGCAAGGCTGGACCAACAGCAGTCCTGACATGACATTCTCAGAGATGTTCCACTGTGATTCTCTTTACCTGAGTACGTCGACCCACAGTGGGTGGCTGGGCTCCAGAAGCCTCTGGAAGCCTAGAATTACATGCAAATTCTTACAGGAGCAGTTTTCTCAGAGTAGACTCCACACCTTCCTCTATCTTATATAGACTAACATGCAATTCAAAGTCATTCCACTGGTATATTCCCAAGTTGAGGGTTTTTTAAAGGTGCTCAAAATGGAGTCTTCTTAGTTTGTGGTAAATGTATGTGTGACTCAGCAGAGTTCTTGCTTTATATGCAAAAGGAGGGAGGAGGGAAAGAGGGAGAGAGAGGGGGAGGGAGATAGAGATAGACTGTCAGGCAGTGATGCTGCATGCCTTTAATTCCAGCACTTAGGATGTAGAGGCAGGCGGATCTCTTTGAGTTTGAGACCAGTCTGGTCTACAGAGTGAGCTCCAGGACAGCCAGGGCTACACAGGGAAGTCCTGTATGGGGGTGGGGAGTGGTGGGGGGCAGGAGAAATCACCTTGTCCTTGGTACTGTCATTTTGACTTCAGACTCCATTTTACCTGAAGGGTAAAACAAAGTTCAGGTTCTCAAGCTCAAGGGGAGCTGGGAAACTTAATAGCTGAGCCACCTCATTTCTAAACCACAGAATAGTCATTATGCCATCTTTAGTTCTCTAGAAACATTATGGCTGTACTTAACAACAGAAGGAACAAATGAATCTGATTGGTTGGACTGAAAAGTTTGCGTTGTATGTCAATTGACAATGATTAAACAGTCAAGGAAGCCTCTAATTTCTAAATCCTGATTGGTGAAAATTGTAACTGTAACTTGTCAACAAACGTTTGTGATTTTTGTGTTTAATACTTGCTTCAACTGACATTTGGGGGGATTGATCAATAAGACTCTTCTCTTTCTTCCTTTTGTGCTGCCCTGCATTAAATCTTGCCTTGCAGTAATCTCTTGTGTCTACTTGGGTTGATTCAGAGCCTCGGTCTACATCCTCAACCCCCAAAGGCTGGTGTTTTAGGCATCAGTCCTATGGCAGGTCTCTTGGAGGCAGGGTGGGGGAGTGTTCCTCTAGACTAGGAAAGGAATTGGCTTAGTCAGTGTGGCCTGGCTTGATCTCTTGCTTCCCAGGTTACCTTCAAATTCCAAATACCAAGTAGGATTCTTATCTGCTGCTCACTTACAATGCTTTTCCAGAGGTCTGCTGTGAAGGAATACCCACAAAGGCCAGCATGGACAACAGGGAAATGATAGCCGCAGCTCCCTCAGCATGCCTCTTACTGCATGGCCCCAGTGTGGTTCCACATGCCCCTGCTACGACTGCAGTTGCTAAGGAAAGGTTACTCCCATTAAACTCAGAAGAAAGAAGCTGATGGGAAACCCTACAGAAAGAAAGCTACATGGGATCAACCTCTGTCAACAGAAAAGGCAATGTGGAAGAATAGACATTGTCATGGCCCACACCCTGTCCTGGGGCCATTTGGATACTTGATCCAGGTAAAAACTCGCATCAACTACAGGGGGTCAGGCTGTGGTGAAAAGGTCAGCATGTCTGGACAGGCCAATTAGAAGCAGACAGTCATCCTGGGCTGTTTTGTGGTTCTGCTCAAAGCCAAATGCAGAATCTGAGCCAGTTTCATAAATGTGACCCAAGATAATACATCTGATATCAAAATCCCCATCAAGCTTTGGAGCTTCAGCCACTGTCTCATCAATCTGAATGAAATTACCAGTGTGCCAAACAGAGAAAAACTGGTTTCAACTCCCTTATCTCTGCATTGTCTATGGTACAAGTAGTATAAAAGCAACAAAATCCCAACAAGTTGGCTGATGGGAGGGCACAAGTGAATTTCCATTCAGAATATTATCATTGTTTGTGGTGTTTTCGCTTCGGCTTCTAGGTACTGTACCTTTCAAAACAATAAAAATGAAACATAGAAGGTATGTATCCAAAGCAGCCCAGGGTTTAGAAAATACATGAAGTGGGATTTTTGGAGGAAGAATTAAAGCACACATTAGTTGATCATGGAACCCCCTGGCTCAGGCTCTGCACCTGACAGACACCCCATGTAGAGGAACTTCAGGAAGGGACCACAGAACTCAACGTATAATTTTCACAGTGTATTGATAATCACTTAAAAATACATAAAGTGTTTGACCTGATTGAAAATAAATAGAGTTCTATATTGGAACCCAGTCTTATGCCTTCTCTGATGGAAGAATGGCAAGCTAGAATTAAACCACTAGGATTCAAGAGGCAACAGAAACTACAGATGTGAGAGCTAATTATAACAGGACACTGCATCCAGGAAAAGAACCGATAAGTAACTTAATAATCAAAAATATAAAGTGCAAACAGTGGTGGTATACAACTGTCAATTCATTACATCAGAAACTGAGGCAGGAGAATTGTGAGTTTGAGGCCAACCCGTGCAACATAGCAAAAATGTGTCTCAAAGTAAATACAAGGCTAAACAAATAATTAGTACTTAAAATGTATACACCTGGATCCACCAATTCCACTTCTAGAAATACAACTTACAAACAGAAAAGTGAATAGACTAAAGAGCTATTCCAGGAAATGGGGGAGAAGAAAATACCCTATTACATGCAAAAGAGAAGCCTAGAAAAAATTCATATCTTTCACATTACTGACTTTACCAAAGAAAGTAAAATAAAATTTCACAGCCAGATACAAAATCTACTGAAAATTCTTATGTTAGCAACAAAAACAAAACTTACTTTGTTTAAATATAAAAGATTAATATTTTGAAGGCTGTAGTCAGGGCTCAGCAGTTAAGAACATATATTTCTCTTACAGTTTGGTTCCAAAACCCACACAGGGCAGCTAAAAGCCCCATGTAACTAAAGCTCTGGGGTACATCTGACGTTCTCTTCTGGCCTCCATAAGCAAGTGCACTCACATGGTCAAACCCACAAACACACACATACATACACACAAACTAATTACAAAATGACCTTAATGATGAGTTGGAGGTATAGCTCAGATGGTACAGTGCTTGCCTAGCATGTATCAATCTTGGATTATCTCCAGCACCACATAAGCCAGATGTACAAAACACCTGTAATTCCTAAGCTTGGGGGATGAAGGCAGGTGCATCCCAAGCTTAAAATCATTCTCAGCTACTTAGAGAGTATGAGGCCATCCTAGGTTACATGAGATCCCATCTCCAAAACATAGGTATGCACGTATATTTTAATGCTCATTTACCATCTATCTGTAGAAAAACCCAAATCTCATGCAAATGAAAGACATACCTGTGCTTTGATGATTTGCTAAATATATTACATTTTCTTTATTTTTTGGCAAATCTCCATATAGTAATATCTAAAAGAGAAGACAAAAAGATCATTTAAAACATGTGCATGAAATTACAAAAAAAATGTGAATGAAAACTGACAAGCATACAATATAACTGGCTCTATCCATGACTAACAAACATCAGAGTTCTCTTGAGAGCCCTACACACCATATGTAGCTCATGCTTAGATAGAGGATAGAGGACAGGCTAATGATCATACAGTAAGACAGAATGACTGATAAGCCTGTAAGAAAATTCACAAAACGTATTGATTGATAAAATATAAAACTTCACAGCACACTGGAAGGGACAGGCATATACATAATGACTATAATGAGACCTAACTCAACTATTATGAAAACACTCTGTATTTTAAGAATCTGTAAAATGCTAGCATATTTGTTTGGTATGATTTTAGCAAATGAGATGAAAAGTTTTCTGAATATAAGAGCAAATGAAAGCCATGTGTTTAAGACCTCTGTGAATATACCAGTGTGTGGAACAAAACTAAGAAGCTAGAAGACTAGAACAAGGAGGCTAATTCTCTGAGCTGGAACTCGAGTCAAGGTCTCTAGCAGCCCAGATTGGCCTCCACCTCCCGAGTGCTGGGACTACATGTGCAACCACCTGACTACATCTTATTTTTAAACCAAGGGATGAGGACAGGTTTTCACTGTACTAGTTCTGGTTTGTGCTTCTTAAGTATTCAATGATAAAGAAAGGAACTTCAAGGGAAAGAATGACTGCTAATGCTCTTTTGTTTTCTTAATCTTTGGGGCATCTTTATTTGGTTAATTATACTTTATCATTAAGGATTATGCAAAAGTTAGCTATGGCTTTAGGGTCTACAATGTCTGAAGGGACTACCTTCTTAGTTGTGAAACTATTCACTGATATCTACCTTAACAACAACAAAAAAGAAAAAGGCACTGATAAGCCCTTTGTGAAAACAATACAGCTACATGATATAAAATTGTCAAGGGCTTAGACTAAGGTTTCTGCTATCTTTCTTAGAAAACTACACAGTATGTTCATATGTATGCAATTATTTCTAATGAAGTTTACAACAGCGTAAATAAATAAAACAAGTAAATAAATAACTAGTGGTTAGTTGACCTGTGTAGGGTTAATACAGAGGTGCCAGCTCATGACCAATCACCCTTCTCTTAGCAATAAACTAAGGACTACTGGGTACACGCTGGATTTAGAAGAACTACAGATACATGGCAGTGCTTTGGGTGTAGGTAAATAGGTAGGTAGGTAGGTAAGTAGGTAGGTAGATATAGATAGATACAGATATAGATATTTGGGATAAGATGTGTTTTTACATGTATTAATATGAAAGGAAAGAAGCTATTTTAAGGACTTATGTTTAATTATACGTGTGGAGGGAGGGACATTTGTATGCAAGTGCAGGTACTGTCCAGAGTCCAGAAAAGGCATCCTTTCCCTGGAGCTGCAGTCATGGCTTCTGGAAACTGAACTCTTACCCTCTGCAAAGTGTCCTTAACCACTGAGCCATCTCTATAGTCCCAAAAGTTTTCATTTAAAAGACAGAGATTTTAACTAGAGGAGGGTTGGAGGGTAGTGCATCACTTTTAATCCCAGCACTCAGATGACAGAGGCAGGAGAATCTACTGAGCAAGTTCCAGGGTAGTCAGGGCTGCACAGAGAAAGCCTGTCTTGAAAAACAAAATAACATTTTCAGATGGGGCTCAGTGGATAATGCACTTGCAACAGCATATGGACTAGACTTTAAATCTCCAGGACTCACAAAAATGCAAGGCAAGCATGGTGGCCTCCCTGTAATCCCAGCTCTAGGGAAGTATAGACAGGGATCCCTAGAGCAAGCCAGCTAACTACACTAGCTAAATGAGTGAGCTCTGGGTTCAAGTGAGAAACCCTACCTCAATATCTAGTATGAAGTGTAATGCGGGAAGACATCTGACATCAGCATCAACCTCTTGTCGCCATGCGTGCTTGTATATAAGCACCCACATACATGCAAATATGCATATTATACACAGGTACACCACACATATGCAAAAATATAACTTTTTAAAAATATCGTTTAATGTGTACGGGTGTTTTGTCTGCATGTATGTCTGTATACATGCTTGCCTGGTACCTGTAGAAGACAGAAAAGATCATCAGATGCCCTGGAACTGGAGCTACAGATGTTTGTGAACTACCATGTGGCTCCTGGAGATTGAACCTTGGTCCCTCTGGAAAAGCAACCAGTGTTCTTTATCCTTGAGCCATCTCTCCAGCCCCAGTTACTACTATTTAATTAACAAATAACTAATTGGATGGTTGTAGTGTTTTCAAGTTTTAAAAAAACTAAGAAGCCAGGCACAGTAGCTCATAGTTGTAATCTCAGCACTTGGGAGGCTACATCAAAAGGATTATATGAATGTGAGGCCACCCTAGGTTTACAAAGTGAGTTCCAGAACAGTCTAGTCTACAGAATAAGACTGGGAAAAACATTTTTAAAGGGTTAAGAACTTACACGCTATCTACATATAAAAACTGTAGGTCACCATGATTGCCTATGCACCTCATTTGCTATGATCCTCTCTAGGGCGGCTCTAAGAGTTGCTCCCTGCTCACTGATGCCTTTCCACCTTCAGTCCAACCACAACATTCATTCATCATAGCTGCTTTACACCACAGCGTGTCCTGGTCACAGTCCTAGGAGAGGGCCGAGGACACCTAGTGTAAGCTGACTTACAAGTCTCAATCCCCTGTGGCCCTGTTTTCTAACCTAGACTTGAGCACCCAGATAGTTTCCAACAGACAGATGTTCATGGAATCATTAAGTTTACACTTTTGTGTTGCACCACTAAAACTGTCTCCTTTTAAAATAAAAGAAATTTCAGAATAAACATAAATAAAACATGCTAAATATACTGGGGACTTTTAAAGACATCATTCTGTGAACCTTCTAGTTCTCATTTACTTTAGTAACTAATCAAAGTATTTCACAAAGCATTTTGAAAACAGGTTCTTAAATTTCATATGATTATATAAGTAACTCTCAGTTCATCTACTTTTTTTCAAAACTCATCTAAGGCCAGTGAGATGATTCTGTATAAAGATACCTGTCACCAAGTCTGATGACCTGAGTTTGATCCCAGGGCCCTCATGGTCCTGGTCCATGGGCCCAGGATGTTCCTTCAAGATTCATGCTTCATCAAAAAGTCTATCAGACATTTTGGGCCTATAGGCTGAAAATATGTCCCAATGTTGCAGAAGGAACCTTGGGTGACTGTCCAGTCAGCGAGATGTCTCTGTCAATTCTAGAGTTTATATTAAATCCTTCTGGGCTCTTTGATGAAATTGAAGACAGATAGTTATGGTTATGGTTTTCCTTAGTTATGGTAAGTTGCACATAAAACTTTAGACTCACAAAGATAGGATAGATGACAGAATATTTTCTTTAAAATTTGCCAACTGTTAGTGGACTAAATATTGTTAACTATAGTTCTTGCTTGATAACTGTTTTGTTATATATAATTTTACTGTGTTAAAGTTAAAACCTTTTTATTTAGACAGAAAAGAGGAGATGATGGGGGAATGTCCTGCTGTATGCTGTGAATACATATTTCTCTTATTGGTTGATGAGTAAAGCTGTTTCGGCCAATGGACAGGTAGGGCTTATCCAGGTGGAAAATCCAAACAGGAATAGAGAAAGGTAGTGGGCAGAGTCAAAAAGATGGCCATGTAGCTACTGGGAAGGTAGGAAGCCCAGACATTCTCTGGTAAGCCAAGGCCTTGTGGAGATACACAGATTAATACAAATTGGTTAATAATTGAGTTAGTCAAATAGAAGACTGAACCATTGGACAGTTTATAATTAATATAATCCTTTGCGTTTATTTGGGACTAAATGGCTGTAACTTCTCTTTACACCAATCTTTCAAACCATTAAACAAATGTTTCTCTGTTCCTTTGCAGTCCCAGAATTCTTTTACATTATCTTGCTTTGTCCATTTCATCATATTCTTGGGGGTTCTAATGTCCTAGTAAAGGTGAACCTTGCTAAGTAAACACTTAAACATCTTAGCAAACCATTCTAGTGCCCCCATTCCTTGCAACTAAGATTTCTCACATGGCCACAGAACTTCTAGAGAATGACACTGCAGGGCAGGACAGGACTGAGATAGCCTTAAATGTCATGTCTGAAGTCTTCACAGTAATTCTGGTACCACAGAATTACTGGTTCTCTAGTATCAACTGAGAACCACTTTGCCTAGCTCAATCATGCAACTATGTGAAGTGAACATTAAAAGGAATTTGTTATCAGCAGTAAAGCATACCTGAATAATGCAAGGAAGAAGTTACTCTGAAGAGTCCCTTTCTCTCTGCTGAAAAACAACTACCCAATAGTTACAAATATCAAGTATTTTCTGTGATTGTTTCTCCATGCTTTTTATAGCAGTAATACCCCAAGAACAATGAACTCATTTCAGTCACCTCTTGTAAACAAAGCCCTCAACTGGATTGTCATAAAAACTACACCTGTGAACTGCCTGGACCTAGTTTCTGTCTATGAAAAGCTAAGAATGAAGCCTACTGTATAAGGATGAATGATCTTCATAAACAATACTGATATACAGCAGCATTCAGTAAAGGCTTTGCTACCAATTACAAAGTCATACCTGCTTGTTTTTAGGATTTTATTTTTAATTTATTGTGTATACAGGTGTATTGCTACGTGCACATCAGTGCAGGTGCCCGAGGCATTGGATCCCTGTGGAACTGGAGTCACAGATGGTTGTAAGCCACCTGACATGGAGCCCAGATCAGGTCCTCTGGAAGTGCAATACCTGCTCTTATGTTCTGGCCATCTCTCTAGCCCCCATATTGGCTATTTTTGAAATGGACCTGGGAGGATTTTTGGCATTCTCACCACATGTACTCTTTCACTACCCTGACCAGCATCTCTACCTGGATTGCTCAACAGCTTCCAAATTAATCCTTTTTAGAGCACACACACAAACAATGGCACTTGTTCAGAGAAGCT